TGAGCCATAACGTCCCCTCCTGGAAACTTCCTTCTGGTGTAGTAAGGCTTTGTGGCTGTTTATTCTACATTGACTCCGGAGGAGCAGTCATTTCTCTGCTGATTCCCCTTTTGCCAACTACGTTAGCATCACACTTTAAAGAGTTCGGGTTTCTGGCCTAATTGTAACGTCACCCAGGAAAGCAAACTTCAGCTACAACAGGAAGTCTAGTGAACCACCACATGCATTTCATTTAGTTACCAGTGATTTTCTGTGATGGCCTCAGCGCTTCATTAGCAGGCATTGTTCAAAAAGACTAGCTCCTGGGGCGCCTGGATGGCCCTGTCGGTTAAGTGTCTGACTCTTGGTTTCAGCTCAGGTCACGACCTCACGGTTTGTGGTCAAGCCCTACGTCAGGCTCTGTGCTGACTGTGCAGAGCCTGCTTGGGTTTCTCTCTCCCTCTCCCTCTCTCTCTCTGTCTCAAAAATAAATAAGTAATCATGAAAAACAACCACAACAAAAGCAAAAAGGAGCAGCTTCTTCCAGTCCACGGGGAATAGGCAGGATACGACTTGTAAGAGCAAAGGTCACAGCTGGTCGTTGGCCGAGTCTTGCAAACAGAAATCTGAAAGGAGTAGGAGGCCACGATGCAAAGTCAATTTTAAAGGAACCGAGGCTCCAAATCAGCTGCAAACACCCCCTCGTGTGGCTGTTTTCATTTGGGTACCTTTTCTTGCTCTGACTCTTACTGGGATGCAGGAAGGTCCAACAGAATCTCAAACGTTAGGAAATGACTTCATCCCGTATTAAGAGTGGCTTTTTGTCTGTTTCCTAGTGGGGTTTATTTCCAAGGGACCACCATTGGCATGGCACCCATCATGAGCATGTGCACAGCAGAGCAGTCTGGAGGAATCGTCATGGTAAGTCAAGGGCACCAGCAGGCTGATGTTGGTGCCCCAGACACTTCCCTCGCTGTCCCGGGACAGCCCCGCTTTTATCAGACTCGGTAAAATGAGGCCTTTTTCTTAAATGGCTTTTAGATGTAATTCCACCTTATTTTCTAGCTCCGTTGATGATCATCCCTACCCCATAATGTTTCAGGGACTCTCTATTAAAAACACCAAGTCACACACAAGTGAGGTGAGTGTGTAAAAATAACTCAGTGGAAGCCCGTCTGCCCCTTTTTTGGAGAAGAAGTTTCAGCTGGGGTCTTGGTCCAAGCATTTCAGTCCAGGATGCCTCCCGGCATTGGGATGAGCCAGGACACGGGGTTGCCCTCCTCATTCGGTTTCTTAGACAGACTGTGGTCTCACCAAACATTACTACCAGAATGGTTTTCTGATGGTTCTGCGTCCAAGGCCCAACAGCCAAAAGTCTGAGGTTTTTAACTGTTTACCACTGCACATGCTTGACCCACCTCCTAGCCAGTGTCCAATTTGTCTTTATAATAACATTAATCTTGGAAGGCAGATACTTAGGTTTATTGATTTGTAAGGATATTTTTGTCATATGTGGGCTCTATACGCTTATACAAGGGAGCAAAACAGGAAGAATATTTGGGGCTTGTTTCTTATGAATTTAAGAGGGAAAGAGCTTTGATATGCTACCCAACAGGGGACTCCTGTTCCACTCCATCCGTTACTTAGAAAAAAGGTTTCACCTCATGCTGGTGCTGTCCCTCTTCCGAAAATATAGCGGCCCCTTTGCACCAGCCCTCAGCCAGGGCGTATTCTCGGAGACCAGTCTGACATCTCCGTTGAACGAACAGAACCTTGCCCTTCTAAGAAACCATGGTTTCCTCCACACTCTTTTTCCAAACAGAACCTTTCTGAATACTCCATTGTATTAAGAAGCAGAAGGAGTAATGTTCTGCTGACTCTTATTTTCCTTCCGTACTGCCCGACCTAATCTTCTTAGTGAACATACATAACAAACGTTGTCTCTTCTCTGATAAGTGTTGCTAATTCCTATAAACACGCACTGAACATATAAGCCGGAGAGGCCTTTGGGAATAAGCGTGGTCACTCTGGATTTCTGGCTTGTACAAGCTACCCTCTGGTTTTCTTTGAACTTACAAGCCCTTTGTGTGCTCTCCACCGTGGAAGTCCCTGGAAAGATTGCTTTTTGTTGGTGCCAGGTTAATTTCAAGTCAGATCCTGACTATATTTTTACAGAGGAGCCTGTAAAATTTTAAGAGGGAATAATTTTCTGTTTCAGGGCTCCATGGTCAGTTGCTCCTGACTTTGCCACGTAAAATGGGCATAAATATTTTTTAGAGCTCAAACTGAATTCCTCATAAGCATAGCAGACTCTGCCGTTTGGGGTGTTTAAACATTTTTATAACCATTCTGATCATATTTAAGTGGCTTTCTTCGGTTTGTATCCCTTATTCTGTTTCCATACAAGCGCTTGATCAAGATTCCTCCTTTAAAAAGCATACAGAAAAGCCTGGTTTTTTTTTTCAAATGGATGAAAATGAACGTGGCAGATATAAGCAAATATGTGGACGGCAGTGGCAATCAGGTCGAGATCAAAGTTCATCAACAGGAAATATGTTTGACCTACATGTCAGCGGTGAAGGTCATCCTTAGACACATCCTTTGTCTGCTCCACTTAGGAGAGAGGCGTCAAGTGGGACGGAAGGCCACAGGCCCTTTAATTCTATAAAATTCCTGAGATAAATGAGCTCAATGTTTTGGCCAGACCTGAAACTTCTAGACTCACATTCTCCTATTATGTCTCTGGAATTAAGTTCATGGGTGTTCCATGTGACTATGCCTGCTTCAAGGACTCACAAATCTAAGAGGAAGGAAATCAGGTAGTGAAGAAGCAAGAATCCCTATCAAATTGAAAAGATGAGTTCCACTCCTGTTTCGCTATTTTTTTAAGATAGAGCAAATCATGAATTCAGTAACTTAAAGCCATGCCTTTGTATCTAACTGAACTAAAACAATCTAGGTTTGGGGATGATGCCGTAAATAAAGAGGTAGGTGGGGCGCCTGGTTGGTTCAGTCAGTTAAGCGTCTGACTCCGGATTTTGGCTCAGGTCATGATCTCACGGTTCATGGGATCGAGCCCTGCATCGGGCTCTGTGCTGACGGTGCAGAGCCTGCTTGGGATTCTCTCTCCCTCTGTCTCTGCCCCTTCCCTGCACACTCTTTCTCTCTCTCTTTCAAAATAAATAAATAAACTTGAAAAAATATTTTAAAATATATTTTAAAAAAATAATTAATTTAAAAAGAAGTAAGGTTTTTTTTTCTTATTACAAACCTAAACTGTTTGTCAGGGTCCCTTGAGAGACAATTCTGTTCATAATCACCGATCCGTGAGACAGTGTAAAACAATTTGGCAATTGAAAACAAACACAGGCCATTTGGTGATACAAAAGAATCAAATAATCGTTTTTAAAGGACGAATTCCTTGAATTTTGTCCCAGAGCATGTGAAATGTGGCCCTCCACATTCCTAGGTTGATGACTTTCCCTTTGCCAACCTGTGTTATTCTTGAGAATTGATTTCCTGAAACATACTTGTGAAGCTTCCTACAACAGGAAACTGTAAAATCTAAACAAAGTAATTTATTAGGAATTTCATCCATTCTAAGAATTACTTGGTTCTGTGATGTGCTGCTCTCTTCTTAGACTCAGGGCTGAAAAGGGGCAGCTACAGCTATAAGCAAGAACCTATAATAATCTTTTAGGAGCACGCCTTTACACGGGGCCCCGCAAAGGTTATCTGTGTCAGGAATGATGCTTTCTCCAAAGCTCGGTGTCACTGTTTCCTGGCAGTTTCTTGGAAAACCCCTTATCTCTTTCCTGGGAGGCACAAAGCAGTATTTGAATAAGGGACCTTCTTTGCTCTGCGATGTGCAGCCCTTTTCAGAAACACCACCGATGGGCCCAATTTCTGCAAATCACATTTAGTAATGAACAGTTTTTGTGTGTTCAAGTTAAGGAACGATATTTTAATAATCAGCGTTGAATCGCTTAGTAATGATACTGTAAGTAACAATAATTTCCAGTATCTGTTTAGCCAAGCCAACCACGTACTCCGTGAAGATAGGGGTGGCCATACAATGCTTGCTAGACGGAGAGACCACCTTCCAAAACCCATCAAAGGGTAGAACGAACCCCCGGAAGCAAGAGTGAGAGAATAAGGCTGCTTCAGTCCATTTCCAAAGTCTGCAAGAGACCAGCAAGAAAGAGGCATAACTGGTCTACCATATAATTCAGTGAATCTTCAGGTTATTCAATGTGGTTAGTTTTTTTTGTGTGAATTCTTGTGAATTTTCCAAGTATCCTTTTTTTTTTTTAATTTTTTAAGTTAATTTATTTTGAGAGAGACAGAGTGTACGGGAGGGGCAGAGAGAGAGGGAGAGAAAAAGAATCCCAAGCAGGCTCCTCGCAGCCAGCGCAGGGCCAGACGTGGGGCTCGAACTCACAAACTGCGAGATCGTGACCCGAGCTGAAGTCGGACCCTTAACCACCTGAACCACCCAGGCGCCCCTCAAGTATCCTTCTCTACCAAGTAGACAGGAGGGGTGTGCTCAGTAACACCTGCTCAGGTCTTATTTAGAATGTCACAAAGTATAGGGGTGCCTGGGTGGCTCAGTCACTTAAGCATCCACCTTCAGCTCGGGTCATGATCTCGCGGTTCGTGGGATCGAGCCCAGAGTTGGAGCTTGTGTTGACAGTGCAGAGCCTGCTTGGGATTTTCTCTCTCCCTCCCTTTTGGCCCCTCCCCCAGCCCCCCCCCCTCAAAATGGATACATAAACTTTCAAAAGAAAGAAAGGTGTTTTATAAGAGACTGTGGGGAACAGAATGGAGATGATTGCCTTGAGTATTTCACATAAAGACATAAGGAGTCCTAAGTGTATCCATGATTAGGCATTCCTCTGCAGAAGGGACCCCAAACTGGTTTAATAAAATAGGTCAGATCGTTTTTTAAGTTTGAACTAAATAATGGGGCTCTATATTTGTTCCTTTTAGGGGATTGGATTCAGTCAAGTGTTGACAAAATTCAGTCAAGTGGTCAATGGCAGGGGAGAGAAGTAGACAGGGGCTGGGGAAAAGGCCAAGGAGATGTGAACTATACATTGTGTTCTTGTGTTTGCTTTGAGGACCATTCAGACAGCCCCCTTGGCGCAGCTGTGACCCTGGCACACGAGCTGGGCCACAATTTCGGGATGAACCATGACACTCTGGAGAGAGGCTGTGGCTGCAGTGTGGCTGCTGACAAAGGAGGCTGTATCATGAACCCTTCGACCGGGCAAGTACCAACATTTCTCTACTTGCAGAGCTGGGCCTGGCGTTGAAGTGCATATTGGGAAACTGCTGAGCAAAAATCTCCCTGGTTTCCTGGCAAGAGCACCCATGGAAACTTCCAGAAAGAAGTCCCTTCCTAAGTAGCAAGAGTGAACTGCACTCCTCTGAGAAGGTCATAGGCAACCAGATGGCAATGCCACATGGCATAAGGATAGACTTCTCTGAGAAGTGGCGGGGGTGGGGGAGGGGTAGACACTGTCTTTGTTTAGAAATTGAGACATTATCCTACAATCTGAGCACATGTTTTCTATTTGAGCCCACAGCTCCAGTGCCCCGGCCATCCTAGGGCCTGGAAACTCGCTGGGCAAAGGGGTCGAGGTTAGATGGGTCACACGTCCTTCAGAACGTGCTAGTTGGGGAGTGTTTCTTCCCTCAGGGTTGGCCCAATGACGTCTCTGAAATACATCGATAGCACGGGGCCGGGGGGGGGGGGGGCAGGTACCAGCGTCCCTACATCTGATGCATCCACCTTATTGGATCCGAGAGGTTTCAGTGACGTGACTGACTGCTCCCTGTCAGTAAATTACATCTTTCTTTCTCATGGAATGCCTTTCAGAAACTCTAGACTTGGTTCACCCAGGAAAAAGGGAAGATAGTTTCACTAAGGGACCATTCAGATGAGGTGGAAAGAGACATCACGTGGAGTGATTGAGTACAGGTTCTGATTGGATCCCGATGCCTCCACGAGCCCATCCCAAACCCGAGTGCTGTGCTGATGTGGGGAGATTTTCATTAGGAAAGGAGAACACACACTTGTTGCCATCTCCTTTTTTTATATCTGAATGAGACCTTCCCAGCGCTTGTCTTCACGGCACTTTCCCGGCGAAGCTCCCTCTCTGGGCTTGCTGAAGGCCGCACTACCATGGGAAGCCAGTCCGGACTTACAGCCCAAAGACTGGCCTCTCTGAAGACCTACTGGCGGGGGCCAGGCCTGGCGTGAGGGGGGGACACCTGCCAGAGGCATAAAGGCCCCAGGAGAGGGATGGATTGTTACAAAATGCAGTTATGCTTTGGCAAGCAGCAGCTTTGGGGGGCTCCTCAGCTGGCTCCTAGGGCATCACATTCCCCCCAAAAACAAAGACTGGGCGGTGCTGCACATCGCCCCTGCATGAGAAGTGTTCGTGAGGCATCTCCTTGTCACCTTATTAGCAAGTTACTGCTTCTCTTCACCGCCATTAGCGCGGAGCCTTCGGGGATGCATGCTTTTTGCCTCTGGTTCTGTCTTCAGCATGATTCAAGGGAGTCACCAAGACCCTGTAGAGGAACTTGCTCTGAGTCTGTAATAACAGAAGCCAAGAACCTGAGCCCAAAGTGCTAGTACCTTAGGCCAACAGCAACAGGAAATGAAATATTGCAAAACCCTAGATACTAACAAGGGAGCTCCCCAAGAGGGACGCAGGCTTCTCTGAGAAAGTGTGTAGGACTCTTGTCATGTAAACAGTCCAGGCAGAGGCAAGATAACTATCTGCTGGGCATTTGGGGCAAAGAATTCCTTCTTAGGATGTGAGGTTGGGCCAGGGGCCTGTAGGTGTCTCCTTTTTCCCGTGGAATACTGGCCAGACAGACCCCAGCATCACTGGCCAGCTTGCTGCGTGAATCTCAGACAAGGGAGCTGGTAGGAAATGGACATACAACTGAGTGGTCTTCAGGCTTTCTCATTCCTGATGAACTCCAAGTGGCTACAAAAAATTCTCTGTTTCCTTAATTTCCCTGATGATCAAATAGGCACCAAACATTAGCCTCTATTCCCCCCACAAGAGGTCTCCAGTGGCTAATATTGTGTATGTTTTACAACTCTTGATAAACTTGGCAGATGGAAGAGAGGAAAATCTAGACTGGGAACCCTGGACTGAGATTGAAGAGACCGAGTAGCCCCTGTTCTGATACCAATTGTTTTGGGTAATACAGGCAAATGGGTAACCCCTCTGTCTTCCCATTCTTCATCAGGAAAATGAGTGAGCTAGTCTTTTTCCTTCCTTCCTTCCTTCCTTCCATCCATCCATCCATCCATCCATCCATATTCATCCATCTCTCCATCTTTTCATCATCTCATCCATACCTGCACCCATCCTTCCACTTACTTGTTCACATAGTCAACAAATATTTTTGACCCCTGGGCCTATTGTCATGGGGAACACACAGAGGAGGGAAACCCTGCAGCTCTAAAAAGTATATGATTCCGGAGGCACAAACAGCAAGACCTACTTTCGGATACTCCCTATAATTTTGCGTAAACCCCTTCAACTGAGAAAGTCTTCATGGCGGCGTTTAAGGATAGGAGCCAAATGACCCTGGAGATACTCGAAATTCACAGGTAGAAATGCTGTTGTTAAGAGCTCAGCAAATCATTTCAAAGGGTTTTTCCCCCCTTACCAGGGGTTTGCTAATATCCTTTACTTGATTTATATCTTATTAGCAATTTCTCAGTTTTCTCTTTTGCTGAGCTTGTGCTTTTGCGTAAATCTCTTCTATTTGGTTCTCATTTATGATCCCACATTCCTGTCCAGAGAGTGGTGTTTTTAATTTTCTCAGATGGAAAGAAACTTCCTAAAGCAAGTGGGTGAATTAATCACAAAAGTCCACAGTGAGGGGGAGGTCAAGCCGCCCAGGCAACCCTCAGCCATCCATCACCCATCGGAGACCTTCCAGGCTGCTTTTAATCTGCAGTATTATCTCAACGTGGTCATTCTCTTACCTCACAGGGGCCCCTCGAGAGCAGCGGAGTGGATTAAATGAGATCACGTGTCTTTGTAAATTGTAAATCACTCCACAAATACACGGTGGTAGTATTGCTATTATTGTTTAGCTCACAGGGGTGTTGGAACTATCGAGACGTTGAGGGCCTCTTCCAGAAGCCCTGTGCTCAGCTGCTGGAAAGCACTTTCGTTCCCACTAAAGGTCCCTCAGCAACTCGCCCACGGTTTCTCTGTGAATGGCTCGTTGTAAACCGGCCCACGTCCAAACACCAGCCCTCCTCCTGACTTCCTCTGCACCACTGATTCAGGCACCGGCAGCAAACGTTAAAAAAATGTTATTTGAGTCGTAGCCTCGAAGGTGAGCCTCGAACAGAGACGAATCGGTGACTGCTTTAATGATACTCAGATCTTCCCGAATCACAAAGAACCAAGTATCGCGGATGTTTTCGAGGGGAAAAGCACAACCCTTGATGTACCGTGTTTATTCCTTATCGAGGCATTCCAGAATCCCAACTCCGAAATGTTCACTGCCTGCCATCATTGACAAATGGGACCCAAAGCCCTGAGAAAACTACGCTGGCATGCAGTCCTGCTACAACGGGGTGTTACGACTTGGGTCACATCTTACAGGCTAGTTGGGGGGGGGGGGGTTCCGTACAGGTTGTACCATTAATTACTGCAAGGCCGGCCGTGTGTGCGAGCATGTGTTTTATGTCTGTGGATAGTTAACATGAAGACCTGCCTGGGAAATTACTCTTTGGCAAAAGCAGTCTCTGGGGATTCGTGTGGGAGTTTAAACTCAATTGAGACCATCCATTAATGAGCTCCGTGGAGCATTTGGTCTGAAAGGGTTTGAGGACAAAGCATGCCACATTTATGGGAGGAAGAAAAATGTGAAGAGTTTGAACACTTTTGGAAAAGATTACTTAGCGTCGTTGTAAATGTCACTTCCCAGAGTGGACCAAAAAAAAAAAAAAAAAAAAACAAAGCAGTATTGGCATTCAAAACCTACTCTCAGAGCTTCCTTTATTTTTGGCAGGAAGTTTTCTGTTAAAAAGAGTTGGAGTCAGAGAGCCTCTCATGGTGGGAATGTAGCTGAGTCTGAGGCTCATACCGACCCAGCTCCTGCGGGATATCATACGCCCTGATGCTCAGATATCAGCGTGACAACCGTGAACGGGACAGACCCCCTTCTTGCCTCCTGGAGCTTGCACTCTCTTGGGGAAGACAGACTTGAAAAACCATAAATTAAAAACCACAAGTTAAAAGGAGTGCTTTGAAGGACACACAGGAAGAGGGTGGAAAGGAAACGCGTGGGCTAGGGGCCCCCCCTTTTATTAGGGGGTTTGGGGCAAAGCTCTCTTGGAGGTGACAGTTAAGCAAAAAGCAAAAGGAAGAGAGGGATGGAGAGTCCCCAGAGAGGGGGGAGGTCGTGCAGTTGGGTGGAGGGGACCGGAGACCAGGGGCTCGTGGGGCTGGATCCGGATGGGGGTGGGGCCTGGGGGCCTGGGGAGCTGGTGCCTGCTGGAGACAAAGGGGGTGGGGGGCGGCTGAGCAAGCAAAGCCCAGTCCACCAGACAGGGACGTGGTTTTGTCTCCAGGGCAATGAGAAGTCGTTGGAGGGTTTTAGGCAAAGCAAAACTATGACCTGACTTCCCTTTTAAGATTTCTTCGCTTCTTTTTTTAAGGTTATTTATTTATTAAGAGAGAGAGCACGCAGGGGGAGGGCAGAGGGAGTGGGAAAGAGAGAATCCCAAGCAGGCTCTGCGCTGTCAGCACGGAGCCTGACGTGGGGCTCGATCCTGCGAACCGGGAGATCATGAACCAAAATGAAATCAAGAGTCAGACGCTCAGCTGACTGAGATACCCAGGCAGCCCGAGATTTCTTCACTTTTAAGCTCACTAGCATTCAAGCTATTATGGCTTGCCAAATTAAGCAGTTTGTGTCTATTTTTATAAAGGCAGGACATGCTTCTTGGAAAACCTAAGTAAGCGCGACAGGGTGTAAAGTCTGGTGTATTTTGCTGTAGTTAATAGGCATGAGGGATTCAATGAGAGGCGTCTTACATCAGCACCCCAGGCTGCGCGCCCCACACTCTCACCTCCCAGCTTTGCATACGTGATGTACAAAATGCTGTTCTCTCTAGGATGTCGCTTTGCTTTCCTTACACCAAGCATCCTTTGAGGACTCAACTTCAAAGAGCCACGGAAGAGCCCTTTCGCACTCCGTGGGTGGGTATCTAAAAGG